CATTGCCAAGATTTGGGGGGTTCCTTAATTCCTTATGCAGCTCTGCCTGAAGATGCGATGCGCATATATTGCACTTCTAATCCTGCCACTGAAATTATAAACATCTTGCTATACAGCAAAATGGAGATAGTGGCCCCACACCATCTGATAGAATAAAGAACTAGGAACAATTACATTATTTTCGATCAATGCATTTAGATGGAAGAAGCATCCTCCTGCTTACAGGGACTGAAGTAGGAATGGAAGAGGTCCACAGAAGTGTACGTGCTGATGGGATACGCTAACTTCTAGCCAATCAGTTATACAACGGACAAGCTTTCAGTGCTTTTAATGCGTGTGGGATCTGGCTCGTCTCTTGCAAAAGAGCTGTTCCATAGCCTTACAGGAGTGATTTATCTCCGGGTAATATGATGGGCTCTTGAATTGCAATGAAAAACCCTTTCTTCAACAATAGTTCGGGGTAACCTTATAATAACCTCCTCCACCTTCCCCAGAGAAATGCTTCAGTCGGATAAAGGAATTTGTTATCCACACAGAAACAGCTGCCCCTTCCTCCGAAAGGACCGACTTAGACTGACAGTTACCTTTTCCGCACCATTCTGCATCACTTTGTAAAAGAGCAGCAATAACAACCTTGGACAGAGAGGGGTTTTTTACCTATCAGCTTCGGTTGCGGAAAGATCACCTGAGCTGGATTTGTAGAGTTGGGTTTTATTTCATAATGATGGATGTGCTGGTTAAATGTAATGGAAGAGGCAAGATAGCAGAGCAGAAATTTGGCGCCAACTGCCTTGCTTTGAAAGAGCCTGCATTCCAGCCTGCCTAAGAGGGGCTAAATGGAAAGATCTGATTAAGCGTCTCAGTGTTGTGACCCTGACCTCAAAGAACACGCCGATTCTCTGGAGGAACTTCATTTCAATTAATCAACTTAACAGCCTGAGTAAATCTGGCTGCATCCATTGAGCCAGAGGAACTGCTCCCTCTCCTCGGAGGGTCTCTGGGACGCACGATCCAAAAGGACGAGGCGGTGTGCGCCGGCCTGCCTGCCTGGCCACCCCGGCTCGAGGGGTTTGGGGATGCCCGTGTCTCTCTCTCCCCAACCGGAGGCAAGCCGGCTGTGGAATAATGGGGAGACGACCCCAGAGACCCCCGCCCCTCCATAACGCTGCCGGCCCCCTCATGCAGCCCTTAGCCGCCTTCCAGCGGGACTGCTGCTGGGAAGGGACGGGGGGCAAGACCCCATGTGGAAAGGGAGGGGCAGGCAGCTCCCACCCTTGCACCCCGCGGGCCTTTTTTTTTTGGGGGGCAACGCCCCGTGTGGAAAGGGAGGGGCAGGCAGCGCCCACCCTGGCACCCCGCGGGCCTTGGTCCCCCCCGGCTTCTCCTGCGCTGCCCCGGTGCCGGGCCTGCCCGGCGCTGCGGGCTGCATCGCTCCCTCCCGGGCAGGGGAGCGGAGCAGCGAAGCAGCAGCAGAGAAGGGGATGTAGCTGTCGGAGGAGGAGGCAGAGGGCGAGGAAGCAGCTGGGTAAGGCAGGGAGCGGCGCGCAGGCAGGAGGATAAGCCCAGAAAATTGCCTCTCCGGGAAACTTGTAAGCAGAAGAACACAAAGGCACCGGGGCAGGCGATGGGAAGGGAAAAAGAGTTCAGCCGGAGCCTCAGGTGCTTTTCCCAGGGGGTTCTTTGCTGGCTGTTGAACTGTGCTAGCCCAGAAGCTGAAGGGGCTTTGCTTCTTGCCTGGGGCCATGCGGGAGACTCTCTTTTCCTTGTGCCGAACAGTATTTCTTGGGGGATGCCTGTTGGGGCCACAGTGCTGTGGAGACGTAGCTGAACGAGCTACTAGCTGAACGTTTCATTGGGTTTTGCGGCTGTAACTAAATTTCCTGCTCTGGTTAGCCTTCTGCCGGCTCTGGAAATGGCTAGTTAACAGCTATCCCCGTTACCTTTCCCCTTGGAACAGGGCAGAGCTGTTGTTGCGGTTAAGTGCAGATGAAGGAGGCATCACGGGCTAGCTGGGTTTCACTGCCGTCGTCCTCCCTCCTCACCTTGGTCCACCACACCCAGATCCTGCCATTACACCCATGGACTTCTGGCTGCCTGCACTCTGCCTAACCGTTATCGCTTTGTGCTGTGTCCATCCCTTTGGACTTTTACCCTTCAGCGGTGGCATACTTTGCTCTTTTACTGCACCTTTAAAGGGATAAGACCAAATTTAGCGCAATCTGGAAAAGCAGCTGTACAGAAAGCCTTGAAGGAGCATGGCAGCCCTTCAGTTGTAGAGGAATAGCGTGGCAGAGCCAGAAGAGCAGTTGCAGAAGTACAGGGTCTGGGTACAGCCCAAGGGCAGAAGCAGTGATTGAACCCGAGTTGTACGTCTTCTGAAGCATCTGGAGTTAAGGGCAACAACATCCCTTGCTGCAGAAGGATTTGGGCTTCTGGCATACAAGTTTGTTGGTGCCATGCACCTCATGTCCAGCTTCTGCACCACCGGACCTAGGCACAGAGGTCTATGACTTGCCCGAAGCCAAAATAGAGCAGGTGGCAGTGCTGGACATAGAAGTCGGGTGCTGACCACTGGGGCTCCGCAGTGTTTGTATGGAGGCTGAAATGACAGCGGTACCCTTCCGTGCTTGCATTGCAGGGTCTCGCTGAGGAGTCAGAGCAGTGACTGACTGCTGCTCTCACACCAGGAGATGAGCGTCCCAGAGGAACGCCGCGGTGTGTGTCATGTTTGCACTGCGGCAATCAGTCAAAACCCACTCAGAAAAGAGTTTTTGCTGTGCCTGAACGCAGCAGGGTAGCGCTTGGCAGTCTCGCTTTTGGCCTGGGTACCTTGTCAAGAAAAGAGATTTGCTGAATCTAGAGGCAATCTGGAGGACTGGGCAGTGAGGGACAAGCCCAGAGACATGGTGCTGCCCTGGGGAGGTATACAGTTTCGCGCAGGCGACAGGCAGGCTTTCATCTGCTCTTCCAAGCCTTCTTCAGACAGAAGAGGAGGGGTAGTAACTGGCTGTGGGGGATGGAAGAGAATTGCTGTAACATGATTTTTTGTCTGTGATTGCATAACAAAACCTCCTGGGAACCTCCCGATTCAAATGGATACCTAGTTCTGGTTGTGCGATGGAGGACTTTCAGCATTGATCGATTGCCCACGCTTTGGTGCAGAGGAATTGCTGGACTGGATCAGTACCAGGCTCCGAGCAGCCTGCGCTCCCGTGTCTAACCTTGGCCAAAATCTCATGAAGGTATAAGAAAGCCTTCGGCAGCGGATAATCTGTTTTATATACCCCCTAACACACACATACACAATGCCATGTCGTCACAGAAGCTGCAACCTGATTACTAATAGAACTAGACCTTGAAAGATGAAATTGCATTGCCATTCTAAAAAAATCCCTAGGCCTGCTGAATTAATTGGATGTTCTGCAAACATCAAGTCATTCTCCGAACTGTGAAATGCTGCCGGTCCCACCATGACCCAGCCTACCTAGCCCAACCGCCAGGAAAAACCCGAGGTCTCGGGGAGGGGTCCATCAGGACAATCAGCTCTGCCTACGGGGATCCCACAGAGTTGAGGATGGAGGAAGCCTGGCCGAGATGGGTTATGCCTCTGGACATGGCTTTGACATGCACACATGTCATCTGTTGGCTTTTCCCTCGAAGATAACACGATAGCCCCACCTCACAAATCTGGAGCAAAGCACACAAAGCTTTTCTTTCCATACTGTGCATTCACTCTTAATGGTCTTTCTCCACACCACGGCCTTATTAATTGGTGACAATTGGAAGTGGTTAATTCTGTGTGTGTGAGGCTGCAATTGCTTCCACTTGGCCAGGATTCAAGTACTGGGGGTGAGTCAGAATGGGTGGCAAAACTTGTCTTTTCCTCAGTTCCCTTGCTTACTGGAAAAAAAAAAAAAGCCACAACCCCGAGTTATTCTCTTTTATGAGGTAGGCATTGTGAGGCCAGGCAATTGAATTTACAACAGCATTGAGTATCAGAGTCTATCTGGCCCTGTCAATGAGAGTGGCGAGGAAAAAAAAGACACACATTAACCCTCAGCTCCGAGTTCCCAGGCGTTTCAATAGGGTTCCCAACTTCCCAAAGAGCCCGCTGCATACTCGATGAGACCCTTTATACCTTCTAATTACCCTCCTCACAATAGGGACAGACTCTCTTGCCGCGTTTGTGGGCGAGATAGTAACTTTTGCGGCCCCCCCCCCCCGGTTAGACGGCTCTTCTCGCCCCCCCCCCCCCCCCGCAATCCCTGCGGCACGATGCTAAGGAGCGAGAGCTGAAGAGCAGCGTTATTCCAGCACTCCGAGCAGGTAGCAGGCGTTTCCTCGAGCAGATTTTTAGGAATCTGTTTCTTCCGAGTGGGAACATGACACTTGCAAAGCTCTCAACACTGCCAGACCCCTCGCCTCAACCCCATCACCTTTCCCCCAGCTCTTGTTCATGGGAATCCCTTCCAGCAGCCTTATTTAAGGCCAGAGTTCGCTCCTACTTTTCTGAGGGGGCTGCACACACAGTATGAGCTTGTCCCTGCCCACTCTCACCCAACAAAATGAAAGGAAGGGGGAGGGGGAAAGCATAAATCTATTTCAAAGAATTTATTTATTTAAACACCTGCAATTTTTTTTGCCTTTTCTTTTTTTGGAAGTCTTCAACACAGGCACGCACACACACACAGACCAACGGGATACAAACAACTTTGGCATTATACTTTCGAATATTTGTTACAAAACTATTTCTCATTTATTTTTTTTAAAAAAGTATCTCAAATAAAGGCATTTTAAAGGAGTAAAAATACAAGTCGAGATCCCAACCTCTGAAAATAATAAATAGCACGTTCATCGTGAGGTCCTTTTCTCCTTTCTCCTTAAATCTGCTTAAAAAAAACCCCAAAAAACAACCCCAAACATAACCGGGCTCCATACAACGGAGCCAACAGAAGAGTTTTTTTGGGGGGTGGGGGGGAACCGTTTTCGTTTTCGGCAGGTCACCAAGGCCTCCACACGGATTCACTGCGCTCCCCGATGGGGCTTCCCGCCTGTGACGCTGGAACGATGCT